CATAATAATGTGCTGGTTGCATTAAAAGCATCGAAAATAGCGATACCCTATATAGTTTAATTCTTCTTCCAACATGTGTGTTTGTCCTTTTGTGTATGTGTTCTTTGTCAGATTAACGGTGTATAAGTAGGCAATTTGAAAGAATTATTGCACGCTGATATGTTGATTTGAATCTAATTTTATTGTGAAACGCCTATAGAACCACCAGGGAGTGGACGTTATTGAAGTGATCTTTATTATTAATACTTATTATTTTATTATTATCATTATTATTATTACTATCAGTGACAACAGGAGTGTTGGTTGCAACTGTGGCGGACAACAGCAGTAGTTGAACAAGAACTTAATCGAATTAAAGCTGCAGTGTACTTTGTTAGGGCTACATCATAATAGGCCTACTGGCGACCCCACCCCCACCCCCCACCCCAAGGGCACCACCCTATAATAATAATATGTTTGATCGGTTCGTCTTCCCTGAAGAAAAATAATGATTCTTTCAACTACGAAATTGAAATATGGAGTATTTGACAGATGTATCAAGGTGAAAGAATTGTCTTTCCAGCAGAATTGTCTCTTGTGACTGAAATTTGACAACAAGGGTGAAATCCAAGTCACACCTCAGTACGCCGGACGCCGTTTAATCTTCATGTGCATTCAGCACCACAGTGTATCTCCTGCACATACACAAATCTTGCAACAAAATGTAGTTCCAGGCATTGGTGAGGGTTTACTATGGCTGTGAAATGGTTCTGGGACCGGGATTCATGTGACGAGCACCACAGCTAATTTAATTGGATTCAGATCTGGTGAAATGACAGGGCGTGGATCCATTACAGCGAAGTTATTCTGAACTTTTAAGAATTTAACTCTTTTAAGGAAGAAACGGACACACATGTCCGACCAACAACAGACCAAAGGCAATAATAATATGGCATATTTCGAAACACCATATTCTTAAATCAGAAAGAGGAATTTGCATATATTTCAGTGCAGGCATCTTATTGCCTGACTTTTAAAAATTTAGATAAAACGTACGGAGCAGAAAAAAAATTGTATGAATAACGCAGTTATAATAATATTTCTTTTATTAATTAGGGGCCCTCAAAATAGTACGTCTGCTGGCGTGGACGCATGTGCGTCTTCAAAGAGTTAATTCCGAGTGGAGTGCACAGTATGCGGGTGCATTGGCCTATAGAAATGTCAAGGGCTGATTATGTCGTTGAAGAAATAGCAGACACTGCCCGTTAGGTCTCCTGCCTGATAGCCTACTCACCTCATTAAATTGTGACATGGTGGCGTTCAACTTGGAATTGAGAATCGCCCGGGGGAAGGTGACGGTGTCCCACTGGTTTACAGCTTAGGTCCATCGGCGGTGTAACCATGACCAGTTCATCCTAGCCTGACAGTTTTTCTGTTGTAAACGCAGTCTGTGTGTAGCTGTGTGTAGGCATCCTAGCTTTAATTTGAATTCCCTCAGTTTGGGACGACCTGTATGTCGGCTGACGAGTACAAGTCTAGAAAATTATCTTGAGGTTTGAGCAGCTGTCCTGCAACAATTTCTCAGGCTCACTTACCTGACATATCGGTCTTGAGCCAGAATTGTTACCCTTGGACGAGCAGTTCTGGGTCGGTCTTGAATAGAAGGCCAGGTCACAACGTATCGTAGTCTCAGTAGGAGCTGATGGTCCTTCTGTTGACGTTGAATGTCCTCGCAGCAGCAGAGGGCCGATGGCTTGATTTGTCTCATCTTGAGTTAAAGAGGGGTCTACCGACTCTTTTGGGTGAAATGCGCAAATGTTGAGGCGGTTTTACGTCAACACAGACCTTATTTCAGAAAAAGACAAAAATAGGTTGGGGTTTTTCAAATTTTTAATCCGCCACCACAGAATTCTACACTCTCTAAGTGTAGAATTTTGTGTCCGCCACGTGGTTGGGGAAATTTCGAATTTTCTTACTTTTTTTCACGTGGGTTCTGTCCACTGTCCACACTGACTGAAGCACTAAAATGTTATTTTTATAACATACCCTACTTTTCAGAATACACACAATCAAAAAGTGCTAGATATACCTCCCCTTTGATCGTCAGTAGGACATTATACATTAAACAATGTAGATCTAGACTAGTGGTTTTCAAAGTGGGCGCTACCGCCCCCAGGGGGGCGGTGGCGACAGTTTGGGGGGCGGTGTGGCGAAATTGGGCAATTGGGGGGCGCCAGTGGGCGTTAAGGGGCGGTGTGAAATTTTTCATGAAATGCAAAATTTTTTAAATGGTGAAGAGAAAGAAACCACATATATTCTACATAAAAGCAAAACAAAAACAAAAACTGATAACAGTTAAAGAAATGGTTTAGCTTAAGTATAGTTTACAGTACTACTTACTACTAAAAACCTTTTTCCCTGCACGTAAAGCCCATAATGATTCGCGCTTAGTAAATTTCCATAGTTTCTTCTAAGGAATATCTGGCCAATAAAAGCTTTTCGAGGAGAAACAGATCCCTCTGACCAATAAATATAGTTGCCTGTGCAACAGATGGGGCACCGTTGATAACAGGACGGTACCATGGATTTATGAGCTTCTTGGAGAAATCAGTCACTGTAGTACTTACTGTTCCCTGTGTCATTTACAGACTGCATTTGGTGGCAAAAAACCTGAGTGATAGTCTGCATGACACACTGGCCATTGTCATCAAGTGTATGAACATGATCAAAGCCCACGCTTTGAATTCTAGATTATTCCAACAACTGTGCACTGAAAATGAGGAGGAATTTCAATGCTTACTTTTGCAAACTGAATTCCGGTGGCTCTTAAAAGGAAATTGTTTAACGCGATTGTTCTGCCTGTTCGACTCTGTTCTGAAGTTGTTGTTTTTTCAAGAAACAGACAGTGATCTCTGTAATAAACTGAAAGAACACAAGAACAGCATTGCGCTCCCCGCATATCTTTTCACAAAGTTCACCCAGGTCAACTTGCAGCTGCAGGGGGATGACACCAACCTGATCAAGGCAAGTCCATGCTTTCGTCGTACTTGTCGAAATTGGAAATGTTCCGCCGAAACAATGGCAGAAGAGAATTTGCTCAGTTTCCTAGTTTGGTGGAGACACTGAAAGAAAGGCGCGTGTCCGACGAGGAACTAGAAATATACCAACCACCTCAGAAACTTGCTTGCTGATTGTTATGAAGACAAGTTTTTAAAGTTTTAGTAGAGGTTTTACGGCGCTCGCAATGGCATAAGGTCAGATGACGCCAAGGGGTGGATGTCAACAGAGAAGTCCTTACAGGGAATCACACTTACTCTGCTCACCTCTCTAGCTTCAACAGCACAAAGTCTGCTTCGACAATCAAGGCACCCCGGAAATAATGGGTCACAAGAGTGTGATAAACATACAAAAGAAGTAGAGGAAAATGACAATAGTAAGGATTAGGAAAGAAAAAGCAGCAGTTCCCTGTTGTAGATCAGGCACAGTTATGAGCATGGCATTGATAAATCAGCCCATTTACAATTCTACTGTGCATGAACGAGAAATGTCCCCCGTTTGGGAATGGCCCAAGGACACTTCAGTCAGTGGCACCGCCCTGGGGAGAGGAAGACAAGGTTTACTGATATTTTTTAATTGGAAATTCCAGACTGAAACAGATGGTAACTTTCCAGTAGCAACTGAAGAAGAGCTTTTGACAATGAAAAGTGAATTTGAAATATAATCATCGCTCAAGGAGTCGTACCAGTCATTCTGGTTGAAGACTTCTGCAAGACAAAAGTATCCCTCACTGTGAGGAAAGATCAAGTTGTCGTTCATCGCTTTTCCCACCTCCTATCTAGTAGAAAGGGGATTCAGTACAGTGACAAGGCTGCTGACGAAGCAGAGGAACAAAAAAATTAATCAAGGATCATAGAGCTTGGCGATTTGTGTCTGCTACCGACTAATCTGAAACCTGATGTTGATAAGTTGGTTTCGTCTCACCATGAGCATCCTTCCCATTAGGTCAGAGTAAAAAAATTCTTCTTGGTATGCTTACTCCGTAGTTTACCCTCACTGGATACCTCATTGTGTATTTTCTTTTTTTCTTTTTTTTTTTGGTTTTTTTTTTTTTTGCTTTCTTTCTTTCTTTAAAAAAAAGAAAACTACTCACCTGTTTAAATCTAGCAATAGAGTTTGTTATGTCCATGTACTGCCGCTGCTGATGAAACTGATGTTCATCATGATGATGATGATGATGATGGTGATGATTATGATGATGATCATAATGATGATGATAATTACGATGATGGTGATGATTACAGACTAAGATCCATGCATAGATTTTCTTTCTTGTGGTTTCTCACATTTGAACAACTTAATATATTTTTATGTTTTACAATGGAGATATTTGATATATACAAATCACAGGCGTCTTTATTGCAGTGCGTTGATGGGAGAAGACGTTTCATAAAGATAATCTCAATCTGTTTTCAAACCAATAATCAATGATTTATTTGTGGTTTGCTTCTATGTGACAATACATGTATTACGTTTATTGAACATGATGTTAATGACGCTGGTCGTTTAATACCGACGAAAACTATATGCATAAAATGACAACATTTTGTTCTCAATGACGACTCAATGTCCCTGCATACTATTTATGAAAAAATGTGTATTATTATCTCTCTTACACGCATAATTTAAGATTCTATAAAGATAATGATTTGTGACCCAACTAATGTTTCTATTCAGAACTAAATCATTAGAATTTAGGTACGTTGTTTTGTACTCTGCTGTTTGACTCTCTATTTGTGATTGTTAATATGTATGTCCCTACGTCAGATTGATGTTTGGGTGGAGTAGGGGGCGCTAAGACTCGGCTGGGTGAAAAAGGGGGCGGTGGGTGAAAAAAGTTTGAAAACCACTGATCTAGACTCTCTATTATTTAATAATAATATAGATTAGAAAACTTCGAATCGAATAAAGCTACCGAGCAGTCATTTGTGTTTGAGACAAGAATGCTATCTGATCTATGAGGAAGTAACTCTGTGCGTGTTGACGCATCAACCTAATAAACAGTGGTTAACAAAAAGGTAAAAGATTAATATTAATGTGTCCTGCACAAAAGCTATTCTTTGAGATGTTTTGAGAGACTGTGTTTGTGAGCAGCTTAAGGAGTACTGACACACCGCTGAAAACGGGTGCAATATTCAACGCTGGGAGCGAATTCGGAGTTTCCAAATGTAAGCCAACAAGATAGCAACGCATGCCTGCCTGCCTCAGCCTCGGGCGTAGATCTACTCTTACACTATTTATTTCTTGTCTTTATATACTTAATTTTGTCATTCTATTTCTTCTTCTAGTTTTACTAGATCTAGATCTAGTCTTCTAAACTCTAGACCTTGACTCGAGCTTATCTTTTCTCTAGCTCTAGTCTAGATCTAGACTCGTTATTCCTTGAGTCTTCTCTGAAGGACTCCGCCCGTTACGAGCGACCATCCCAACAAACACAATAAAAGAAACCTAACCCTGGCCCAAATCCCAAATCCTACCCTAACCCGAACCCTACCCTTACCCCTACCCCTACCCCAAACCTTAACCCTAACTTTTACCCTCTATTCTACTTTGTTTCATAGTCGGATCATAGTGGTCGCTCGTTACGGAATTCCTCCTCTATTCTCTCTCTAGTCTCTAGTCTATATATAGATCTAGATTATCTAGATCTAGATCTAGATCTAGAAATAGATCTAGAATTATTTTTCTCAACATGGTCTATTATTGTAGTACTATACAGGATTACATACACTGCTGCTAGTCTAGTGACTAGTGACTCCTCCTGTAATTTATTTCGCAGTGACTATTTTTACGGCGAGCCTTTTCTTCTCAGTCATGAGCAAAACGTTCATCTCACAGAAGTGTCATATTTGGTTAACCTCCCCACCCACCAATCTTACACTTTTCTTACAGAAGCCAAAGACACCCTTTCCCCTCTGAGGTGTAAGTTTATATTTTGAACGGCCCCTCCTATAGGCCTAGATCTAATACATTGAGGTATGTCGCATACATGAGAGTCGGAGTAGGGTCACATTTCGAGGAACGCCGTAAAAATAGCCTGGGACTAACTGGAAGGCTATCTTTACGGCACGCCGTAAAAATAGCTTGGGAGGCTATCTTTACGGCTCGCCGTAAAAATAGCCACTGCGAATTTATTTTGTAGGCCTACTAAACTAATTAGATCTCTATCTGTTAAGTTTATAAGTCTCTAGAGTCTTTTCATTTAAAAAAAGGCCGGCTCTATTTCTCCGAATGTTCTGGAAAATAAACTTGAACTCTGTTTCTCCTAACGGTTCCGTTCTCAAGATTTGTTGATAATAAGCGAATGGAGGGCCTGTGTGTTTGTGTGTGGGTGTGTGTGTGTGTCGGCGTGTGTGTAAGGTGTGAACGGGGGGGGGGATATTTTTTTTACTTGAAGGATTTTAGTTTTTGCTGGGTGACTTATGCAAAATAGGTTATTGCCAAAGGTCGATCAGTCTTGTTTTCTCGCAGTACCTTTTGAAGGTATTTTCAAATGAAGTATAGCCCGGGAACATTGCCCTAACCACTACTGAAGTATCTGAATATTCAGACATTTAAAAATCTCATGCTCTAGAAACTGAATTTGATGCCAAAAATGCTTCTTCCCAGTCCTCGCAGAATGGCAGAATGAAAGGATGATGCCTAGATCTCGCAAATAACCAAAAAATCTCGAGATCGGAAACCGTTCAGAGAAATAAAGTTCAACTTTATTTTCCCGAACGTTCGGAAAAATAGTCACTTCGTTTTTAATGTCTTTCTCAATTTGATTGTCATTCTCATTCTTTCATTGTCCTGTATAAATACTGTATTCTTTAAAAATCAGTTGACATTTACATGGGGGGAGGGGGGGGGGGTTATGTTTCTTGGATAATTTACTTTTGTGCAGATCCCTTTTATAGCCTACTATTCTATTGATCTAATAAAATGTATTAAATTGTAAGGGAATGCCATATTATGTGATGTGTAGGCATACAGTCTGTCTGCTATTCTACTTTTACTTTAGTTTACTTTTATTTTAATTTTTTCTCCACTTCTCATTCAGTGGAGTCTGCGTAGACCGAACATGTTTTCATCCGAAAACAGCGGTAAAGTGAAAGAAAATAAAATCCCATATTTTTTCTTCTTCTTTGTCTCTGTAAGAATAATAAAGCTAAAACACTCTTGTTTCTAAAACCAACACAAATATTGAGGGTTGTGTTGACTAAATCTTCACTAACAACCCTGTAATGTAGTTGTAACACATTCATCAATCCTTGTGTTTCTAGGACAAAACAGGAGGAGAAAGAGACTTGAGAATACACGTTGTTTGTCAATATGATCTAGAGAGAAGCATTGCCAGTGTACTGTGTACCTATGTTTATCTCACGCATCAATGGGCCTACCAACTGTATTTTTACTTTTATTGATGCAAGAATAGCGCCATGTACATCTGCTGTTTCATCTTTGGTTGGCCATGGCTTATATAAATTGTCTGCAATGTTATTTCACGCAGGCCCTACACGTAAGCATGTTCATGTGGCAGTATGTAGTGTGTTTCATGTCATTAAACTAGCACTGGGCTTTCTCAGTCTCACTTCTCCACATTAGCACAGATCTACAGTGTGCAGTACAGTATGCTAGTTAACTCTGTTTTCTGCTCTGTACAACTGCTCAGCAGATTGAGCAAGCTGACAATTTAAAAAAGAAAGCACATTGCTTACTGTCTACAGCTCAGGTTATCAAAAGACATACATCAGTACAAAAAATCTTTAAAAGATATGTTGCAAGTATGGCGTTCCTTCCTCAACAATGTCATCTATCATCACAATTTGACTGTCCCCGTGGTTTTTTTATGCACCCCGCATAATTTAGCAAAATTTGATCATTTTTTGCATAATTTCTGATTATTTTCCTTTACCATTCTTTGTTAAAATTTTAAAAATCGCATAATTTCACATTTTTGGGCTCAGTTTGCGTAATTCCAGAATTTTTCTTGCATAACGATGGGGACAGATTTGAGCAACCCTGTCTAAAAAAAAAAAGACCAAACCAAAGAAAATCTGGTGGTCCCACAGATTTCAGTTTAAACAGACTCCACTGTATCATACCCTGGGGCCGAGGAGGTGTCATGGAAAGAAAAATACATCTAACTGCTAGTGGTCGGAAGGCCTCTTGACCTGAATGCATGAAAGGGGCCGAGGAGGTGTCATGGAAAGAAAAATACATCTAACTGCTAGTGGTCGGAAGGCCTCTTGACCTGAATGCATGAAAGGGGCTTTTTTTTCGAATACGGCCAATTCTGGGTGAAAATTTGCTCACTCTACTAGGGTTGCATTTTGTAATTGCTGCTAGCTAAATATATTGTGCCTATGTCGACAGAGAAGTCTAAAAACAGGGACCACCAAGGGATCTTTAACATGCACAACTTGCCCGCTGTTCCTCCGAGAATTTTTCACCCTTGTCCGAGAAGGCTAGGTGTAGATCTTTCCTACCAGAAGATCAGGGGTGTGGCTGAAAGACAGTATTAAGAAGGAGCCAAGGAGTAGCTATAGAAAGGCTGCAGAAAGAGTCAGGAGCCCAGAGGAGAAGGCATGGGAGGTGAGGGGGTTGGGGTAGAAAGAGGAGACGAAAGCAGCCGACAGAACATTTTTAGAGAGCAGGAAAGGAGGTGAAAGAAATTTTTTCGGTCCCTACCCGGATTCGAACCCAGGACCTTTGAATGAGAGGCCAACATCTAGGCCACGAGAGCCCCCAGATTTGATACTGATAACAGAAGTCTGACCATATGGAGCGATAACAACACCATTATAAAGTCAAAGTGCATCTATATAAAGCAACCTCTGCATGCATGGATATTCTCCGTCTGTCTTTTCGCATGAGTAGCATGGACTCTCGCCTATACAGCAGAGCTGCAGAGAAGAGTCTCAAGATTTGAGCCATGTAGAAGCCTTCCAAGCCATGATAGGAGGAAAGTTTGCACCAATCATGTCCAATCACTGTAATTGATGCTGGTAACAACAATGACACAGACATGGACTCGTGGATCAACACTTTCAATACAGCAATACAATAAGCCCTGGGTCACAACTGACGTCCTTAACCTGTGTGACAAAAGGAGAAAACTAAAGGAGAAAAAGAAACAACCAGATGGTGCAAAGGAGTACAGAGCAGTCAGCGGAAAAATTTAAAAAGTATGAAAAGGGCAAAAGACAATTGGATCGAGAAACCGTGCCAAATAATTGAAGGCAGCCTGAGGACAAACAACAGCAAAAAAAGCATATCAATTAGTAAAGGACCTGACATGCACTAAAGAAGGGCGCACCACCATCATTCAAGACAAATAAGGAAAATGCCTGACAGAGGAACAAGACATTTTGAAAAGATGGACAGAATACTGCTCAGAATTGTACAACTACAAAGCCGCGAGAAACCCTGAGATACTAAACGTTCCCCCAGCAACCAACATCGATAACCACCCAATCCTTGGAGAAGAAGTTGAAGCAGCAGTTCAAGCACTGAAGAAAGGAAAATCAGCAGGAGTGGATAACATCCCAGGAGAATTAATACAGGCAGGGGGAAAGGACAGGATAAGCGCTCTGTCATATGCAACAAGATCTGGCAGATAGGAAAGTGGCCAACACCATGGACACAATCACTAGTGATTACACCCCCAAGAAAGGTAACCTGCAACTATGTCAGAACTACCGCACCATCAGTCCAATAAGCCACCCCAGTAAGGTTATGTTGAAGATAGTGCTGAACAGATTGAAACAACAGGCAGAGAATATCATTGCCGAAGAGCAGACAGGCTTTAGAGCAGGGCGCAGCACAACAGAACAGATCTTAAACCTCAGGATACTGTGTGAGAGGTACCTCCAACACCAACAAAAACTATACCATATCTTCGTTGATTTTAAAAAGGTCTTTGACAGGGTCTGGCATGCAGCCTTATGGGCGACCATGAGGAAATTACGGAAATATAAAATGTACGCCAACCTGATCAACGTCTTACAACAACTATATGACAAGGCCTCCAGCGCAGTCTACCTTAACGGCAGCATGGGGGATTGGTTCTGGACAATGGTCGGGGTGAGGCAAGGCTGTTTGCTCTCTCCCACTCCCACTCTCTTCAACATCTTCCTAGAACGAATCATGACTGACACTCTGGAAGACCACAATGGAACAATCAGTATTGGAGGCAGGACAATCACTAACTAGCGTTTTGCCTATGACATCGATGGATTAGCAGGATAAGAACAGGAGCTCGGCACACTAGTGGAGCGGCTGGACACAACCTCAGCAGCCTACGGCATGGAGATCAGTGCCGAGAAAACCAAGCTAATGACTAATAACACCAATGGCATCAACGCGGACATCAAAGTCAGGGGCGAGAAACTTGAGACCGTCAACAGCTTCAAATACCTTGGATCAATCTTCTCAGATGAAGGCTCAAGACCAGAAATTCTCTTCAGAATCACGCTAACAACAGCTGCGCGGTCAAAACTGAAGCCTATTTGGAGGGACAGAAACATCACGCACAACTAAAAAATCAGACTAATGTGCTCGTACAAAGCTCACGTTTTAAATGCTGAGGTACGAAAGAGAATCACCAACGCAGTGGGGCAGCACGGAGATCTACTGACCACAGTGAAGAGACGAAAATTAAAATGGTATGGGCATGTCACAAGATCCACAGGACATGCCAAAACAATCCTGCAAGGAACCGTACAAGGAAAGAGAAAGAGAGGAAGGCAGAGAAGGAGATGGGAGGACAACATAACAGAGTGGACAGGAAAGACGATGGGTAACAATCTGAGGAAAGCCGAGGACAAAAATAGATGGCGAGAGCTGGTTTTCAGATGCAATGGTGCCCCCATGGTTGCCCCAACCACGGGATAGAAGAAGAAGAAGAAGAAGAAAAGAAAAATCTAGGCCCTAGAAATGCAATGCTACTCTAACATCTTGGATATCATCTAAGTGGAGCACATCACAAATGAAGAAATCCGCCAGACCATCAAGCTTAAAATTGGCTCCCATGATCATAAATTATGAAGATCTTTTCACAGCTGTGAAGAAAAGGAAGCAGTGGTGGTAAGACAATTCACTAGATCAAGTGCCATTATTACTACATATAAAGGGAAACCACTTGCAGAAATTAAAACCCTCAGTCACAACCAGGAAAAGTGGAAAAGAATGGTGGGCAGATCTTCATGGCAATACCCGTAACTCTTACAAGGGCTAAAGGCACAAAACAAGACAAGAGCTATGTGTGTTTACATCATGTATTTACGACAGTGTTTGTTATTCAGTGTATCACATGGTAAAAGATGCAATGCGGAAAAAAGTGTGCATTAATTGTGTCACGTCGTGGTGGAATCAAGCACTCGTCACTTTTTGGAAATGAAATAGACATCCATTTAAAAAAAATAGAATTCAAGATATTTGTGATTGAGGAAGTGAGGGTGCCTGGTTTCAGGGGTGAAATTAGCGAGAAAATGGCCTCCAAAGTTTGGTTACTCCAAAAGCTGTATAGAGTCTTTGAAAGTTGAAAGGAAAATGATGTATTTTGTGCCTTTAATCTATGTTTTTTTTCCTGTAGAATTCACGCGGAAATGTGTTTTTATGTGGACCTAAAAGAGGTTAACAAAAAATGAAAATTTGATAAAAATTTCCAATCTGGCGGAAAAATGCCTGTTTCTCCGGTTTCGTTGCTTTGACGAGCGCCTGATTCCACCACGCTGCCTCACAATTTGTTTTGTAATTAGAAGCAGTTGAATTCATTGTGGTAATAATTATGTTTATCATAATATCCACACTGTACAGCATGCTCTATGTGTTATTTACAACTATTATCTCATCAACTCATCAATTTTGAACCCTTTCACCTTGTACATGTTCAGGTTTCAAGAAGTTTTTTTCTCATTCAGGTGTTTCTCGCTTCCTAGCAATCTGATTGACTGGAGCTGAATTATATTTGTCCCGTCTTATAGACAAACAGTTAACTTTTTTCTTCTAAAAAATAGTTATTTTATCTTTACTCTATATTTGTCTCCTTTTTTCATTCATAATATATTGGGGCAGTTCTGATGTCATCTTTGTATTCTCTTTTATCTCTTTGTTTTTAACTCTTCATAAACTTATTTTTTTCAATGTGTTTCATAATTATGCTAACAATTTTCTGCTCTCTCTTTTGCTTTAACAAAATATAACCTTGTCTTTCAGGTTATGAGAGCAGATTGGTGCTGATTAAAGCAAGGTGATCCCCAACGTAGTGTTGCCTTGCTGTGGATTGTTTGTGAAGTGTGGTGAATGGACCAGTTCCTGAATTTGAGATGGAAGATCAGAATGAATCTGGTGAAGACTTGTTCAATGTTGTTTGTGGAGATCTGGGGCTGGGACAGAGCACCAGAAGCAGTATCTACCTGAACTATCATGAACCTTTAATATGGAGTGAAAAGTCGGAAAACTGCCATGTAGAAAGTGGCGTGAGTCATGTTGACAAGGAAGATGCACAGCGTGAATCAAAACTTCATAATGACCTGTCCAATTCTAATTACATTAGACAGCGTGGATCTGTATCACTCAAGGAAAACAATGCTCTGATGAGGAAACTGCAAACAGCTTTACTGAAAGGAGACCATAAGAGAAAAGAAGAAGAAAATGAGACATTTCCCACCTATGCGGATATACCATATGGCACATCCCTGCGACAACAAAAGAAGCTTTATGAGCAGCAAATTGGCGATCTTCGTCGACAGCACTCATTAAGTCAAAGTGAAGAGGATGAAAAAGGTAAGCATTTTGATTTTTATTTAGCTCATTTTTAAAAAATGCTGCAATATTTAAAGACTAAAATTACGCTGTCTGCGAATGTTTTGTCCGTTTTGTAGTCTTAAAAAGAATCTTTATTTTCTATTATCTTCAACATAAAATTAGCAGGTGATGAGTTGGAATTGAACACCATTAAAAATGCAAAGTTTTCAGAGTTATTGAAAAGCCAAATATGCTCTGATCGTCACGATTTTTGGAGACACAAATGAGTAGTTGTCCTCACACTCAACCTCGATTTTTGCTAAATTATCACGAGTACTTTTCATCACAATACTATAAACTATGCTTTAGTACAATGTTTCATTAGTTGCTATATTATTAAAGAATACAAAATTATTTACCTGGAAAATGACCCGTAGCTCTTTCCAAACAAAAGTTCTTTGCTTTTTTTTGGATCAATTTTAAAAAAATTCTTTCATTACAAGACTCCTCAACTTATCGAAGCTGATCGCAATTTTCACTTCCGCCTTGTTCATAGCGGAAAATCTGCCTCAGAAGCAGCAATACGGCTAAAATGCACTGCTTGTATTATTCTCCAGTGACCCGCCGTGTTCAAGAGAGGCAGACTTTGCTGTCGCATCTGCGAAATCATTTAGTTTCTCAAAAGTGGCAGCTCAAGGCATGCATGGAGTGCGATAAAATGTTTCTTTCATCGGTGTGAGGTGCGGAGCAGTATGTACAGGACTTAGATCAGGAACACCTTATTTAGGACTGCAATTAACGAAGCCGCGACAACAGCACCATCTTCACGGTGCCAAATAGCACAAAGAAAAAAATCAGAATCTTTCAGTCATCCAACACAACACTACTGCCCTTTCATTGCCCATTTAGCAAACAACACAGTTTCTGGAAGATCATAACATGAATGTCATGGACTGGCCGGTGTACGTACCCGATATGTCTCCAACAGTGCACGTATGAGATGAACTGAACCGCAAAGTGTGTGCCGATGTGCAAATCAGCAGCTATTGGAAGATCGCGCTGCCGTGAAAGTGGGACAGAATTTCTCAACAAAACTTTGAAAATGTTGTAAAGTCCATGTGAAGAAGTGTTTTGGTCTGTTTAAATGTTAATGATGGCCCTACAATTTACTAAGGGTAAGAGATCTTTATTGAGCTTCGATTTGTGTTTATCTGCAAATCTGTCTTAAGGGGGTACGCCGAGAGAAGGAGGACAATGTATCGAAATCATTTAAGTGTGTGATCAAAATGGTTCACATTTGTTGGAAATTGAACGAACTTCAAAATACGCTTCTTTTAATCTATACTGATTTGACACAAACGTGTTCAAACTCTGCGAGCGAAGTGTTGCCTTTTTTATGGCGTTCTGTCAATATATGTTTTATTGGTCAGTTAAATTGTCATTTGTTTTGAATGCATGGTTTCACTTTTTTCGTGTGCAGAGTTCAGTGTTAATGGGCTTCAGTATAGTGCTTTTTTTTTTACTACTCTGTTTGTACTGGAAAGAAAATTAATTAATGAAAATAATTTTGTCTCTTAACAGCTCTCATAGAAAGGGAGATGGTGCAGTGTGCTATGGGGATTAAAATTACATGTCTTAGAAAATTGCTGTGAAAAGTAGCTTTCTACCATACTGGTGACAGTAGTCCAGAGCTTCAGTAACTGTAGTCCTATATGTGGTATGGGGGTACTTAGGGTTAATTAACAGTTAATATAGAGATACATTCATCTTCTAACTTTTCACTGGCCTGAGGTGTAGTGGCAACTATTTTACAGCCTACAGCAGCTTACATTGCTGGAAAGTTGGATTTAAAAAAAATAATAATAAATTTATAAATGACATTTATATAGCGCTCAACCCCGAATAAAGTACACAGGCTCTGAGCGCTTTACAATACAGTACAACATACAACAGTAACATAAAACGTTGTGTTCTGACTAAAGAAAATTATTCCAAATATTCATCTCATTAATTTCAAAACAGAAACAACTTTAGCTGACATTTGAATGAATCAAAAGATTTGATCTCTCTTAAAGTACTTGGTAAAGCATTCCTAGCCTGATCTTGAGGCCTTGGTATTCAAATTAAAAATTCAATTTTTCATAATAATAATTAAAATAAAAACAATTAAGGCTCAAAGTATCTGTGAACTGACGCTGTTAGAGACAAGAGGGGCACTCCATTAGCTTAGTTTGTATCATGCTGAACAATGGAACGGACATGCTTTGTTCGCATTGCCAACAGTGTTTACTTGAGCTTGGGTTTGTTTTATAATAGAATTTTCAAGGTTCTCAACCTAATTGGCTCGGTCTTATCAGAGATGGACGTTAAATTCAGAGGTCCTTCCTCTTGAATAACTTATCTGTGTTGAAAGAGGAGTTACGCCCACTTACTATCGTTTTATAATAGACTGGTTTTTTTTACTTAACTCGGGGATGCTGTTAAGGTTTTAAGGTAGAATCAGGTCTGTTTTTTTTCCCTCCTGTAAAATTTGCACAGCTCAAAAATTAGACTAATGCGCTCACTGGTCAGCTCAATATTTTTATACGCCTGCGAGTCGTGGACACTAAGCAGAATTAGAGAAAAAGATTCAGAAAACAGAGATGAGATGTTACCGCAGACTCCTTGACATCTCGTACAAAGACCACGTTTCAAATGCCGAAGTACGAAAGAGAATCACCAACGCAGTGGGACAATATGAAGATCTACTGACCACAGTGAAAAGATGAAAACTAAAATGGTATGGGCATGTCACAAGATCCACAGGACTTGCCAAAACAATCCTGCAAGGAACCGTACAAGGAAAGAGAAAGAGAGGAAGGCAGAGAAGGAGATGGGAGGACAACATTAAAGAGTGGACAGAAAAGACGATGGGTGACAATCTGAGGAGAGCAGAGGACAAAAATAGATGGCGAGAGCTAGTTTTCCAATGCAGTGGTGCCCCAACGGTTGCCCCAACCACGGGATAGAAGAAGAAGAAGAAGAAAATTTGTCCGGAGAATGAAAATTAAGGGTTTCTGTGATCTGTTTTGGTACTACCATGCTTACTTTCACGTTCAAGGGTGCATAGACTGGTTCCTATAGTACGTAAGGGCAAAAATGATGTCTATGTTTTCCAAAGTTGAAAACTGAAAAGTCACATACACTTATTTTTAACATGACAATGGATGCTGGGCGCATTTTCATTCACACCTGTGCATTTTGGTGGAATCTTAGTTTGGAAAAAATACTGGAAGAGGAAGAGGAGGATGAGAAAGTGGAAGTTGGAGGTTGATCACGTCTTATTATATTTATGGATCTAGCTACATTAATTTGATAACATTTACCTTGTGGATGTATTAACAAACAATTGTGCTCTGTAAATAGTACGTTTTTGGCAAACAGGTAGTATTCTTGTAGCTTCCCATGAGGCATCCACCATAACAATTTAATTGTGACTTTAATGCCGTTCAAGAGCCATCCATTGGAATTACGTATATTTCTTTAAAAAATCAGAGCATTAAAGTCTTATCATATTTTCACTAAATATCCAAGAATGCGGGAAGTAGTTGTACGAGAATGCTTCCAATTGTTATAGCATCTTTACATCTTTTTACTTGCTTTGCATCCTCTGTTTACTAGATCCCCCTTTTCCGTTCTGCTTGTATCTGTTTTAGCTTATGGTCATTCAAAATCCCGATTCTGGCTTCATGCTAATCCATGAAAATGCAATCTGATGTTTTGGTTCGGCTCAGTGTTCAGTGTTCTGTATAATTGTTTATCCTGATTTAGAATAATTTTTATGTTCACTCAATTGTTCTTGAATTATTTTTGTGTGTCTCGTTGAAGGCCATTTTCAAATATTGAGGTGTTGTGAATGTTAAACGAATTTATAAAGGGAATGGTGCCCCTTGTCTCACATTGTTCAGACTGTTGATGGTTCAACATTGTTAATAGGTTTTGCTTGCAGTTACGAGGTCTGTCTCAGAATAAAGTTTCCCTCCTCCATTAAATCAAAAGTACGCAACCAACAGCCACTAAATGTTGTGACATGACGTCATGTCTAAGAAATCTCCATGCCAAATTGTAGGTGTATTGGTGAACGCGTCATAGAGCTGTGACGTGTCAAGTGTGGTGTTCTTGTGCGCTTTATCCAAGGCAAATCTGAGGAAAATGGCTGAGCAAAATGTTGATGCAACCTTCTCACACTACGATGTCCGAGTTGTGATCAAATTTGTTAACTCTTCTAGGCAAGTCTTCAGTTGAAAACCATGGTGATCTCTGCAAAGTATTAGGGAATAATGCCCCATCAATTCAAACAGTAAGAAAATGGATCAGGGAGGTTGAAGGTGGGAGGTCTGACATGAAAGATGAAGCGCATACTGGAAGGCCCCCAGTTGTCATTTGTGGCGACAGTGTAGAGAGAACCAAAGCTGTTTTGGAAGAAGATACGAAAAGAACATGCACGGAAATACGTCAAAGAATCGGTATGTCCAGTGCAACAATTCACCAACGATCTTGGCAAGAAAAAAAGTCTTGGAGAAGGCATCATCCCGCATCATGACAACGCGCCTGTTCACAAGTCCAGAGTTGTGAACGAGTCTGTCGAGGGCTACTTGTTGGAATTATTGGAACACCCGCCCTATTCGCCCGATCTCTCCCCCATGCGACTTCCACCTCTTCCCCAAGGTGAAAGAAATGCTGTGAGGTTGGTGATTTGAGGACGGGGACCAGATTCAAGAGGCTATGAGTAAAGCACTCGGGACCTTGGACAAACGATCACTGACCGCTGGGTACATCAAATGGACAAATGTCTGGAACTCGGTGGTTCCTAAGTTGAATAGGTATTTGAATAGGCTTTCTGTTGATACCAACTACAGTGTGATTTATAATCATATGTGAGGACAGCTTGACCGGGAAACTTTATTCTGAGATAGACCTCGTATGGTCCATTTAATTATTTTTAAATATGTTTTTTAGTTCCCGTGTCAACTCTTATAGGCTTCCCCTTTTTATCACTCGGCTTCTGGCAGCTGTGTGAATTAGAATCATAACTGTGAAAATATAAACTTAAAGCAACTACGGGATGAAGTAGGTGGCTTATTTATTCGTGTGTCATGTCTCCACCAGCAATTTTGAATTTTGTCTGTCGATCTTTGTCAAGCAGAAAATGTCTTTCAAGCTCATAGTGCAGTGAATAGATCACTTTTCATCTTTTTATTACGTACTTAACAATTTCTTTCAGATAAAGGCAGCCAGTATAGCATGTCAGTGGAAGACATTGGGTCAAAATTGTGCAATGCAATGCAGGTATGTGCTGACAGGTTAATTAATGTTATGCCACGCAACTGCCTGTATGAGTTATCCCTTCAGTGAAGTCAAGTGTTCACTCGTGTTTCATTTTGTTATTCCCTGTAGTACTAACTGAAATTGCCTCTGATAATATTAAGTGCCAGTTGTTTAATCCGAAACAAAACAAAACGAAACCAAAAAAAAACATAAAAAAAACAAAATAAACTTCATTCTCAGCTATGACATGTTCATCAGACTTTCTGATAGCAAGACCGTTTCTGTGTCAAAGACCTGCCTGGTGCACTTATGTACCATTTTGTTTAAAGTACAAGATGTATGGACTAGGGGAGTATTAATGAATAATAAATAGAATTTGCATAAGCGCAAATTCTCGCTAAACAGCAAGCTCTATGCGCTTTACATTCTATATTATTACCCCAGCAGATGTGATAGCATTCTGAAACAATCTCAACTTCCCGGGTAGCTTACAGGTATTCAAACAAATGATATCAAACAGAACTTAGAATTGTTTAGGTGCCAGAAAAGTCTGACTCATGCATGTATCACACTAAGAAATTTTTTGGTTTACTCTTTTCAACTATTACCAGGTGTGTGGACCGGTAGAATTGAATAGGTTGTCGGAGCCTTTCCATCCTTTTCTCAATGAATATTCTGATTCCATACGTGTATTTTGCCTCCATGCAGTTGTTTTGCGGTTTAGGGGAGCCTTGTTATTGTGTGGTCTTTTTCTTTTCTAGCCTATTCATTGTAAAGTGTTTTGTGCTGCACCTGTTCCGCGCGCTTAAATCTATTTCCATTATCACTAGGCCTAACACAGAGGGCTTTCGCGTGTGTTTTGTTTAGCAGTTTACCAGCTTTGAGTATTGATCGTGTTCATGAGAACCCAGTGTATTTTGTTTGTGCAGCTGACAACTGTTCATGTCTGTGGGGAAGGGGGCGAGTCCAGTATAATTGTGACATACAAATGTTGATGCACGCTCCTCTTCTTTGGGTGTACCGGTGATATTCTCTTCACAAAGGTTGGTGGTTGGCGGGTGCAGTAGTGTGGTGTGCTCCTTCTTTCCTATCAAACATCTATCGTCCTTATCTCTCCTTTTTCTTTCTTTCCTTTTTTTGTTTTTGTTTGTTACTCTCTTGCAACACCCCTAATCCTCGGCACTTATGTGACATAATTGTTATGTGCTGTAAAACTGTTACTAAAACTAAAACTCTTCTCAACGTGTGCTTCTTTGCTTCTAATTCTGTCTCTTTTTCCTGAACGTATTGCAAGGATTCCAAGCGAACCCAGATGGTTTCTTGAATGATATTGTTGTATCCGTTGATAGGCAATATCTCTTTACCATAATAATACGTTTTATTTTCCCTAAGAATTAGCGTTTCAATATCACAAGGAACTTTTTGCCTATTCTTCTCTCGAATATACTTCTCAGTCTCATACATCACGAGGATTTCGTGGCCTAGAGGTTGAGGTGTTCGCCCCTCATTCAATAGGTCCCGGGTTCGAATCCGGATAACGACGAAAAATTTGCGTCTAAAACTTTCTCCTTTCACACCCTTTCCTACTCTCTAACAATATTCTGTCGTCTGCTTTTGTCTCCACTTTCTGCCCCCACTCCCTCACCTCCTTTGCCCCCTCCTCTGGGCTCCTGACTCTGTCTGCAGCCTTTCTACTTCTACTCCTTGGCTCCTTCTTACTGCTGTCTTTCAGCCACACCCCTGATCTTATGGTATGAAAGATCAACACCTAGCCTTCTCGGACAAGGGCGAAAAATCTCAGAGGTCATATGTGCAAGATACGCACGTTAAAGATTCCTTGGTTGTCCAAAATCGGCCGCCATCCGGGCAAACTTCAAAATTTCCTACCAACTGAAAATGTTTAATGTGTCCCGCACGCTCATATGGCCTGATGCGGTTGCGAACGTCGTAAAAACACTTACCAACAACATTATTTTTTTTTAAAAATCATACATCACAACCGTACTAAGTATGAGACTGAAAAGTACATTTGCAGATATTTTACCGTGCCATGTTTAGAACAACCTTTATGAATTCAAAGTGCACCTGCTCTATTTTGTCGTGTTTCTTCACGCTTTACTATACATATTAATATGTTGTTTTTTTCCCTAAGAATCAGTATTTCGATATCACAGGAAACGTTTTGCATACTCTTCTCTCAAATGTACTTCTCATTCTCACATTCTACTCTCAAGATCTTATATTTTCATACTGGTTAATCGGTTTAAGTGACATACATCAAGCATACTAGGCCTATGTATGCTTGTGTTTGGGTTAGTAAATTAATACGAACCTACTCCCGTGAAATGAATCTTAGCTCGTTTTCAACAGTGTAGATTTTCATTTGGTCTGATCGTCACAAAAATACACATTGTTTATCTACCTACTATTACAAAGAGAGGAAGGTGAGAAAAGAATGGAAAGAAATCGGGGGGGGGGGGGGGTTGGATGGGTGGGGGAGTATAAAGAAATAATAACATTGTGATATGGTTCTAACTGTATTTGAATGTCCTTTTTAAAAGTATTTGCCTTTAAACACTTTGTCATTGTGTGGACTGCTCATTCGCAGAGAGCCATGATAGATGATAGTATGATACATTCTGCTAGCCACAGCTGGTGATGTGTGCTGTGTGATAGTGAGAAGAAAGGGGAAAAAATCAATTTTTTCCCTATGGGTTGGATGATGCTAACAAGCTCCAGAGGTTTTAGCAACGTGCCTAATGTGGCATATTTTATGAAATATGTCCTCAGCGGGGGAAAAATGCTTGAAGTTTTGCTGCAATTGTGAGCATAAGTTCGCTCAAAACAACGAGAAAAAAATGTATTTTCATTGGTTTTGTCATTTCTCCTATTGTCCGTGTGTGGATTAAACTGAGACTGGTTGTGATATCCGTGGATATTTCTGATATAGGAAATGGAAGAATTAAAGATCGAACTGGATGCGTGTCGCAAGCGTTTGGATGCAAAATACAAGGCTGTTAGCATTCTTCGACAACAGGTAAATATTATACATATTCCATGCTGTTGATAGCATTGTCTTTTTCTATGCAAGTAAATGAAATGCTCTGTGTATGTTGTGACTGTATTGACTTTAGTGGGATGCATGTCCTGTTCCTCTTGTAAGATGGACTAAGATAACGTGTTTATGGGGTATGGGTATAATTTTGGGAGTAATTTCTCTCCAAGACAAGTATTGGTGCTTCTCCAATTTTTTAAAAGAATGTTAACCTACTGGCTACAACATGTATTCTGTATTTGTATCAGCGGACAAAGGGGACTAATGCAGTGGACAACCAAATTTATTACTACTTCTTTTATTTGTGTTTTTTTTTCTTCTGATACTCCTAATAATAGTGATAATGAAAATAGATTGCATTTATATTGCGCTCTATTCCATACAAGTATGTAAGCTTTTTAAAGTGCTTTACATCGATAATGTGATAACTGAGAATAAAACTCGTTCAAGAAAAATCATTTCATATGCAGAAGAAAACCTGTTTAACCACCTTAAGAGCCATACATTAATTTATATACATGTACACATAAGTACAGAGTGAAAACAAGACCTATCAGCACCTGCTAACACACGACCTTAAATAAAACTAAGTCAAGACTTAAACAAATGAGTCTTAAGCAATTGCTTAAAATTGTATTTGGCTTTGTTATTTCTCTGAGGTCCTGGGGCAAGGAGTTCAAATTTTAGTGCCCCCCCCCCCCCCCAAAAAAAAAAATCACCAAAAGTTCTTAATTTCATTCTAGGGGCTCTAAATTTCGTTGCTTCAGTAGATGACCGTAGCTGATGGGATGGTACGTGCAGTGTCAACACCCCAGACATATAATGGACCATTATTGGTGGAAACTTTACATTGCATTCATTTTTCAACTGGAAGCCAGTGCAGAGCTTTTTATTCTCTTTTGATACAGGGATTACTATTATTATTATCATTATTATTATTATTAAAGCCTTCAGTGGGTAGTTGGCGGGTGCTGTGGTGTGGTTTGCTTCATCTTTCCTATCAAACATCTGCCATCTTTATCTTCTTTCTTTTTTGTGTTTGTTACTCTCTTGTAACATTTCTAATCTCCGGCACTTATTTAACCTTATTGGGTTGCAAGTGCAGTAAAACACTTACTAAAACTAAAAGCCTTCACTACTGTATTGTCTTTAGACTCTTGTCTGTAGTTCGGTATATTATATATGACATTTTTAAAATATATGTGTGCTCTTATTTTATTGGCATTATTATTATTATCACTCAGACAAATAGACATGCTCAACTGGTAGGATGAAACTTTTATAAAGAACCTAAAATCAGACTAATTTGGGATCTCTTTTGGATACTCTTTACATTTCAGTATACATGTTACAGAAGTGTCAGTTATATTGTGAAAGTAAAATCATTTTCAGGCGGAGCTTGCTGATAGTGAGCTGAGAAGTACAGAAAAGAAAGCACATGAAGACAACAAAAGACTAGAACAGGTTTGATTTAAAAATTCTCTTTTTCAATTTTTTTTTTCTAAATATATTTTTTCTTAATATGAACCTCTCAAAGAAATGCTACTGAACTGTATGAGATTTCTTTAATGTTTTGGTTTCAAGGGAAATTGTGTTTCATACCTATCAGAGCAATATATCTGTAAAAAGAACTCTTTAAGTAAAGCAATTACAGATATTACAACTCCCATAGGCTTTAAATTTTAAAGGCTGGTCAGGAGGATGACTTTGTAGTCATAAATAGGATGCAGATATGTTGTTCGTATTATTTTACCTTCTCTAATGTGAATCCTAAGGAGTTCTTTCATGGTTTGAATTCATGGTTTACATGTGCAATGTTTCCTGTTATTTTTAAGGTTTTAAATGTTTGATTGTTTAAGTGATTCTGTTAAAGACTCAGTTTCTCTTGTCTTCTAAAACATAATCTTGGGAGTTCTGAAAAGGATAGATTGTCTTGTGTGAGAGTTCTGTTTCTCTCATCTCTATTATTCGTGTAAGTTATAGTGCAGACTTACAAAAGATAGTTGTTTGGGGATTGGGATAGTGGCAGGGGTTAACTTTACTGAGGTTGAATGATTTTTTAAATTGCTTGTTAGTACTTTTCTTCAACAATTGCAACTTGGTAGACATGGCCAGAGTTTGAATCATGTTTAAATTATAAAATGGTTTTGCTTACTAACCCTTGCATTATGGCATTAGATAGACTTTGTGCAAAGTATACAGGCCCTTTGTACAAAATTTGAATATCGGTGTAAGGCTGCTATGTAGCATTGACTTTGATTGAAGTTTGCAGCTTGTAATGTGCACCCACTCACGCATGTATTCCTGTGTGACTTGCATGTTAGGAACTGAGCAAGTTGCAGTTTGAACTAGAATGGAAGGAGTCCTCCTTCATTGACAGTCAACAGACATGGGCTGAAAGGTTTGACAGGTAAACAAATATATTTCATGATGTTTTTGTCGTTCTTGAGTTTGGCTTTTTTTTTTGGTTGTTGTTCTATGGCAACGACAGAATGAGGGAGAAAAATATATGTGTCATGACATGGTGGAATCAGGCTCTCGTCAATTTTTCCGCATGTGGAGTTATTGGTATCATCTTACAGAGCGTTCATTTATCTTGCTTTAGATTTTTAAAAAAAACCAATTTATCTTGAATAAAAGTCAAGATATTTGCTTATGAAGGAGGTGGGGTCACGGTCGGTCACCTGGTTTCAGGGGTAAAATTAGTGAGAAAATGGCTGCCAAAGATGAGTTATTTCCTTAGCTTGAGAGTCCTTGGGAAATGAAAATTTACATTTTTTTTGTGCCTTTAATCAACGTGTTTCAGTAAAATCCACATAGAAATGTGTTCTTTAATGGCAGTGAAAAGTGTTTAGCCAATAAACACAAATTCAATAAAATTCCCAAACCTGTGGACAAATGTGAGGCGTGCTAACAAAATGAGTTACTTCTCGCAATCCGTGAATGGCGATATCAGCCAAAATTCAACACAAGGGTCATATTTGTAGACTCTAAACCAATGCCATTCTCTTCAAGTTTAACTTGTCTTTTATCATTTCATACTGATAAATTGGAAAACTTCAACCTATAAATTTGATGTTTCTTTTTCCATCTGTCTAAAATCTGAGAAGTAACTCATTTTGTCAGCACACTTCACAAATGACAGTTTCTTCACTTTGATTATTTTGACGAGCACTTGATTTCATCACGCTTCACATGTGGTTATTTTTTCCTTTGTGTATTTCTTTTAAAAAAGGGCTTTACTTCACAATATTAAAAGCATGCTTTGATTCTTTTAAAGCCTATTTTTATGCTTGATGACTCTAAAGGCTTTATACCTTTCCTGTTTCTGGGTTCCCACATCAGGTTTCATTGTTTACATTATGGCTTATCACTGTTATTTTGAAAATGTATCTTTTATATCACGTGATGCAAGTTTGATGAAGGCGATATGCCCTTATTCTGTCCTCTCCTCTCTTTACTGAGTAAGTAGTATACAAAGGCCCTGCAGTGTTCTGTTCCTTCCACTTCTTTTCAGAATTATGATTATCCCCATCTGTTCTTTGCAATATGGGCTGGTTTTGTTCGGACTTGCCAGAGATCAATGCCACAGCTACTCTTTGTGTATGTGGTTTTAATTGTGTGTGTGTGGGGGAGGGGGGGGGGACTGGAAGTCTAGTGATAAGGCTACTGAACTCATAATTATGAGGTTGCAGGTTTTGGGGTTTGAGGCTCAGCTTGGCTGGATATTGTATTCTTTTGAAAGACAGTTGATTCTCCTCACTTCACCTAGGTGTGAGTGGGTTCCTGGCCATAGACAGTAAAAAGTTGTGTCAGTATGTGAGTGTTTTACTGTCTGTAAAATGACAGCTTGCACTGAATGCTTCCTGGGAAGCCAGTAATCTTTCTGAGTATTCTTAGGTCTTCTTGGGTAATAATAGTTGAAAAGTGCGTAGAGCATGCTGTAAAGCATTGATATCTGCTACACAAATGCAATTATTATTATATTTGCAAGTGTTATTATTTTTTCCTCGTATCCCTCTTTAGTTGGATTTAAATAGTTGAAAAATGAGTGCTCTGTGGACAGTGCATATAATGATAACATTAGACACAGACCAGTGTAATCATTTTATCAGTTCCTAACCTTCTAACATTGCTAGGGAAAACAACATAGTCATTCATCCAAAATTTGTTTGGTTTAAGTTCATTTCAAGCAAAGTCCTCTTTATTCAACAAAGGAGTCATTGTGAAGTCTTTAGTTTTAGTAAGAGTTTTACGGCACCTGCAACACAATAAGGTCTTATAAGTGCCGAAGATTAGAGGTGTTACAAGAGAGTAACTAACACAAAAAAGAAGGAGGGGAGATAAAGACGATAGACGTTTGATTGGAAAGAAGAAGCAACCACACCAGAGCACCCGCCTAAAACCCACATGTGAAGTCTTGTAATGTATGTTTTCATGGAGATACATGTCCATAAAAACTTTTTTAGCTTTGAACCCTTTCTCTATTTTTTCTCGTTCATCTGTAAGTAGTGATTAAGCAGCAGTGCCTGTATTGTTCCTTATCTTTTTTTTTAGTAAAGTGATCTCAGTCCAAGATCATGATCCTTGGCAGAAATACGACTGGGCTGTTGGTGGGCTGCGACAATAACCGAAAAATAAGTTACAGTATCTAAATTTTGAATACGATTTTGTGTGTATGCACTAGTTTTAAAGAAAATCTTCCCTCTCTGTGTTCTCACACTTAACACAAATTTATTGCAGGTGTGAAACAACATATATTCTCATTTCTTAATCCCCCCCCCCCCCTTTCAGTTTAGTTTCCCTCATGTTGTGTGGTACATGAGGCAATTGCAGACCGACACTCTTGGTTTCAAAGCCTATCAGCCCTTCAAAATCACCTCATGCTTTTTTTGTTGACTGATGGTCAATGTATTCATCTCCCTCACAGTTGTCTTCACACTCGTTTCAATTACAAGAAATTAAGTGATATTACTCCATGCAGTGTCTTGCGGAGATGACAAAAGTTTTTGAGTCTCAGGTGAATCTTCATTTTAAACAAACTTTTGTTCTCCGAAGTGTTCCTGAAGAATATATAATTATTAGTGATAGGTTGTGTTACTCATTCATGCTCCAAGATAATCCCTCGACTGTGTGATGATCTTTCCTTCCAAGGTCATGCATGTTTTCTTAAGAACGTGTATCAATTATAGGTTTTCGTTTATTATTTTGAATATGTGAAGGCTTGAAGAGTGGTATTTTAATCAAATTGGGTTGTTTTTTTTCAACCAGGACTTAAGTAGGGTATATTTTAATAAAGTATAAACTCTGTTTTTGTGTCTGTAGTGAGTTAAACCAAATGAGAACAAAGACCTTAGGCTATGAGGTCTGCAACAAAGTTTATTGTGCCATTCTTTGTGAATCTATGTTTGTTTACCTTCCTACCTTTGTTTTTAAAAAAGGCGTATTATGTTGTATACAACTTCATTAGATTGTTGAAAATGATTATGTTTAGCCATAGCCCTGAACTTTTTAGCGTCTTGTTTTGAAAGCTCTCCAAAATTTTCACACAGTAAGCTCAACTGCTTTGCTAAAGTAGGAATGTGTCTGGCAGAGCCAGTATCTGATCTATTGTTTAAATTCCTATTTGCAAGTTAAGTTGGTAGCTTGCATGCTGGACAAGCCTGACAGCTTTGCTTAAGTGTGAATCATTTGGCAGCTGGCTCCATCACCCACACAGGGTTGCTTGTGCTGGATGGCAGACTGGCAACAGCTGGTCTCTCATCCATCTGTGCCATCTTTAACTCTTTACTATTCGTACATCATGTACAGTAACGAGTTGTTAGATCTCATGAAACCGGACTAATGGGCTGGATCAATAAATTGAATAAACGGTTGCAGCTGAACAAACACGAGTTCTTCCTTCTGTTGTCTTTTCATTGATTCACTTTATTGATGATATTTTAACAGTTATTTATAGACTATACTAATTGCCTGTAGGCATAACATTTAAACAAAGTTCTCGATATGCTTTGCAATTTTCACACAGAAGAAAATATGAGAAAATGCAAATTCCTCCTGATAAATAATAGAATGTAACATATCAGTGATAGATGAATAGAGTTTAGCTTTGGGGCTGACAACTACACAAACTAAATTAGATATATTTTGGAGATAATGATCTTGATACAGGCAGCATCACTGAACACACTTTTTTCTTGTAGGTTGAGACTGTAACAAACCCACATTTGCCTTGAAAGTTGAAAGTTATGACATTTACTATGTGTGAGTGCATGCATGCACTCCTGGTTGTGAAATTAAGTACCCACGTCTGCACCATATACTAAAAATTTCATTTGCAAGGACTGACAAACATCTTTAAATGAATACAAAGATGATTTTTTGGGGGAGTGAAGTTTAAGCATTTGTCATTAAACACTGAATTTAAAATGTTTAACTTTTAAAAATAAGATGCCTATTGCAAATGAAAGTTTGGCTCTGCATGAATAAATACATGCATGACCCACATATAATGACTAACACAATCTAGAAAAAATTTTATCACTGCGTTTATTATGCTGATCGGAAGATGCAAGTGTTAATTTTGTAATTATTTACATGCATTCTGAATGTAAGGACAGATGTGCAGAATCAGTGTGTTTTGCAACGTGATTAAATATTGCTAGTCTTTGGTTACGCTTGTATAGAGAGACATTGCGCTCATATGACCTTATGCAGTTGCGAACGCTGTAAAACTGTTACCAAACAAACAAAATAGAGAGAAATATTGGTAACAGTACATGTTGCTGTGGCAACGTAAGATTGAAAGACAAATACCATTTGATTCAACCATGTCATAAGATTTGTGATTCAATGGTATGCATTTGTTGCCATGTTTTGAAAAACGTAAATCTTTTATCGACAGCAGACATTTCCTAGCCCCTTTATTAGTCTAGTGCTCGTTCCTGAGAGCAAGAGTTGGCTTGGTATTTTAACTTGCTTGTTAACAGCATTTACTGTCATTTTAACCATTGGATCTGACCAGTACAATCATTGAATATAAACATCTGCATCCACTATAACCCCCCCTCCTCCCCCGCGAGAAAAAATAGAATAGATAAATAACTGGATGGAATTTAACACCGCTAAGGAATTAATTAATCCCTTTCATGTGATGGCACTGCAGAGTTCAAAATGTTTTGTTGGCTCAGAAAGAAACTCCCCAAATTCGCACTCTGAAATGACAGACTAATTGTTTGTGTGATGTGTTGTCATAAGTTAGGCAAAACTCTTCCTCTGTGGGCTATTTACAGGGAGAAAGGTAATTTCAAACTGTTTCAGATTGTTGTTGAATGTCCTTTCGTTTATTTCCACTTCAATCTAGGAGTATTTCAAATTGACAGTTACCTCACAGAAAGCGCACCCATGTAATAGACCATAGTCTTCTGCATTTGGATTTTTTATGCAATTTAATTATGTATCTTTTTTTGTGTAAATGAAGCAAAACATTTGTTGAAGCAAGCAGAGCACTGCAACACCTTTGGGCACAAATGAGCAAAATTGTGATCGTTGATGGTGTTCTGCACTTGATCTCAATTGATTTGCTCTGTTGCTATGATATTTCACCCATGGAATACATTTTTGTTTCCTAGGTTAATGCTTTGATGTGTCAACTTAAGAATCCATGGCTGCATGCATCATTTATAATATGTCTTAAAAGTCCAACATTCACTACGGACTTTCAGTCTACAATCTTTGGTGCTTATTTAGCACTACTGATCAACTGATCACTGTCTTTCCTATTTCGTTTTAAATTGGTACTCAGCAATTTTCAAATATGAATGTTACTCAGATAAAGATGTTTGGCAATAGGAGCCTGTTTTGTTTTTGTCCCCTCTAACTGTTTTTCATTCTATAAATACCATGGTACTTTTTGTTTTCTTCTTGTGCACCTGTCTTTCTCATAAAGTTATTGAATCTATTTTATGAAATGGAAGATACCCATGGATTTTGATCTTTCTAGTCAACATTGTGCACAATTTGCCATACAGTTATTTGTCATCATATTTTCCCATTTTGCTTCTCTTGGAGGGATTTTCTTTTTATTACATTTTACTTTAATATTTTTATGCTGTTAGCCTGGTGATGGGAAGAAAGCTTTGGTAGAGGATTTAGAGATTAGCATGCTGGGCCAATACACCGGACAGACATGGGAAGCTGAACTCTACAGGTAATGTGTTGTAATTGGTATGAGTATTAACCCATTTTCATGCCATTCATATAATACATTTCTTTTTATTCATCAATTTTTAATTGCATAGGAACAGACAGCTTAAAGAAAACTGCAAGTCATTGAATATTTTAGTGATATTTGTTACAGATTGGCAGGACACCTTTTGCTCTTCTGTCACCTTTATTAACCTTAAAAGAAATAGCTCACTTTATTTAAACTTGGTTTTGGAAATGATCTTAATGGAAGTAATGTATCTGTGCAGGGTCTTTTCACTCTTTATCTGATTTTAATGTATCCTTAGTGACTGTAAATAAATGATTGTAAGATTTAGAACATGAAATTAGATCATGAATCCTTCATTTGTTGCTGATTTTTCTGTTTTGAGTAATGCGTGCTTAAGTGTCTCATAGAAAAATTTTATTCAGTTAAAACAGGCAATTTGACTACCTCCTTTTTGCTTTTTTGACAGTTTGTTTCTAGCATTTAATTCGTAATAGATAACATGATTATTGTGGAACTTTTGTCATCCACACAATGAATCATAAGTGTATGGTTGATATGAACAATTGTTATATGTTATGAAATTGTAAAAGGGAAAAAACTTCTATGATTTTTAACCCTGTTCCATCTTCGTGATTGCTTGGAAAGTCAATCAAAATGCAATCTTACATGGAGTCCTTTTAAGTTTTTTAGAATTCAATGCAGTTTAGTGTTCTTTCTTTGTAGTTTTTAAGTCTTCAGCGTCATAAGTGCAACAAAAGAAAAGGAGATTTTGTTTCGAGTAATCTTCTCAAATTGTTGGTATATGTTATGATATTAATTTATATTTTACCCAGAGTGTGCCAAGAAAATGCAACTCTCATGTCAAAATTGGAAGCAAGAAATGAGGAGCTCCGACGAGCTAATGCCCACAAAACTGGTATTTTCTTTCTCTATCGCTTGTCTCTGTTATGAACTCATGAGCATGTTTACCATATATTTTTGTTTCCCCCTCCCTCCTTATTTCATCAAATTGTGTGTGTGTGTGTGTATGTGTATGTATGTGTGTGTGTGTACGTGTGTGTGTGTGTGTACGTGTGTGTGTGTGTATGTGTGTGTGTGTGCATACATGTATGTATGTGTGTGTGTATTTGTATGTGTGTGTTTTCATTTTCTATGTAATTATTTTGGGTTTTGAATCTGGATAAAAGAAGATATGTGATTTGTACTTGTTTTCTATTTATATTATATAAAAGGTTCAGTCTTCAATGTTTTCTTTTTGTAATTAATAACCATCTCTGTTTGCACTTTTCAGTGCATCACAATCTACCTAATGTGAACTCTGTGTGCTTAAACATTTGTCATGGGTGGTTGGCGGGTGCTCTTGTGTGGTTTGCTTCTTCTTTCCTATCAAAAGTCTATCATCCTCATCTCCCCTTTTTCTTTTTTATGTTTGTTACTCTCTTGTAACACTTCTAATCTTTTGGCGCTCATATGACCTTATGCAGTTGCAAGCGTCGTAAAACCTCTACTAAAACTAAAACATTTGTCAGAAACTGTTCAAGTTGTCTTTTCTTATACATAGCCTCTTTTACTGTAGTATTGCTCAATGATTAATGTGATTGGCAATAGAAAGATCATTGGCTATTGTGAAATGGAATTCTCAATGGTTGGAAGGCTTTCATGTTCATAGATAGTCTGCTCTGTTTATTGTGGTGTCAAATTACGATTTTCACACCCCTATCAGCATGAGCAGTGTAAACTCCTCTGTTGATAGGGCATTATGACATCTAGTTAGGTCAAATTGAAATACCTGGACCATTTTCAGCCATTAAAGCGACACCAGAGAACTGTGTCACGATGAACAGAGCATAATTATAACAGTCATATGACATAGTAGTGGAAAGCATGTTGTGCTTGTGTATACGAGAGAGAAGGACAGGCTGGTCACATCATTTATTCACCATCAAATTGTTCCCTTTATTTCTATTGGTGGTTGAGCACTAATGGAGATTTTGTTTTGCAATCGAAGTAAATACCAGCGTGAAAAATATTACTCATTCGCTATGGATAAATTCAAAATATAGAGACAGATAATGTTTCTTTTCACAAAAATTCTCAGCTGTGGATTGAAGTATATTGTGTGTCACTCCATACCAGCAGAAAGCTCTTATAGCAGTGGCATGGAGGATTATGCTGTAAAGTGAATTTACGGAATTGCCTCTTTTAGTTTGGTTGAACATCTATTATATTAAGGCACTCTTCCTAATGACATTTTCAGACAACACACAGTTTATTGTTTTGTCCCTTCCATTCCCCTTCTTACTCTATCTTGTATTGTCATAGTTTTTTGAGACACACCTAGCAGTCTTACTTTGAAGTAAGGCTATTTGTTTTTTGGAGTAAAGAAAAAGAGAGGATCTAGGATGAAATGTTCGTATAAAGCATGCTTTTAACTTCAATGTCCTCATTTCTGTTACGGTCTTTGTTAATTTTTTGCACAGAAACAGAAAATGAACCCTGTCCGATTGAGTGCTCATTTAACAAATATGTTGTACAGCATTTTTTTAATGTATATATTACAAAACGTTATTACTTATTAGTGCTATTTTAAAGTCTTTTTAAGCTGAAGTTCATAGCTGAGATCTTGCATATTTTATTGCAGTACTGTTTTGTGTAAATTAACACTTCTATTGTTTGGATGTAGTGTACCTCTGTTTTACCCTCATCTAACCAAATATGAAAGCGAAATCAAAAGCATGTAGGGCTCCCTATAAATCTGTGAACCTTATCTTCCCAAAATCATAGCCAGCTGCTTTTTGCTCATTAACAAATATAGTTTTGTAAAGGGATGATAAAATATGCTTGAAGCTCTACTAGACTAAGTACAAGAAGCTTGACATTTTTTATTAGTGTCCTGAACAGTGCTATTGATGCTTTGCTTTTTTTCCTGACAGCTTTAGCTCGTGAAAGAGATGAGTTACTGGCACTGTTAGATGTCACTGAGCGTCTGAAGTATGAGCAAGGGAAAAGTCGGGTTGCAGAAGAAGAGTATGGGACATTTACATCATCAGAGGTTAGCAGTTTTCATGCATATCTTCCACAGTCTGAACAAGCCTATATTGAATCCGCAAAAGTACATTTTGCAATCCGCAAAAGTACATTTTGCAACTATTTTCTTGTAGGAGTTTTTCACGGCTCTTCACCCAATTCGTTCAGTCCTATCAGATGTGGGTATAAAAATCAAAGGTTCTGCCTCTTTTATCCAATTTGGTGGTACAGTTGTTTTGTAACCATTCAACACCATGCCTTATACCGTATTTGGTTCTCCTTTGGGTTTGTTTGTTGTTGTTTTTTTATTTGGAATTGATTTCTGTCAGGACAGATTGGATTTTTAGAACTGTATAAACATCTTCTTTTTTTTCTTATTACAGTTGTCAATTGTAAAGTGACAGTGATGCTCTAGTTCTCAAAGACTTTTATTCAACTGGTCTGCTCAACTTATTTCTTAAAATTCTTTTTTTTGTTTTATGTGCTCATATAAATATTGTTGTTATTGTTGTACAGGGACATGTCTTGTTACTTTTTTCATGTTAATTCTTTCCATTGTACCCAATCTAAATTCAGGTATTCTGTTTTTAATAGTGTAACATATGCATTCAATTTATGTCTGAAAAAGTTACATTTTATAATTAGAAAGGATTCCCTTATTCAAATATTATTGAAACAGTAATGCTTGTATACTCTTGCTGGAGCAAGTGTGTGGCTTCTTTTAATTAATGACAATTGTATCTACCACAGCTGGCAGTGCTTGGAGCATGCAAGTGTCGAGTTTCCAATCCTGATCCTTGTGGGTGTGCTCATGCTGCTGCCAATCTCAGGAAAGAAGTCTCTAAGTTGAAAGAAGAGGTATGCCTGAGATAACTTTTTGGGGGGATTATTAATATGGGACAAAATGAAAAATGTTGAATTGACATTGTTATGCAAATTGGTGCCTTTGAATGACTCATTTTTCCAGTTTTACTGTGTAAGCCATGTCTTTGGTGATAGATATTTAGTTAGCTAGCCCCATGAACTCTGGATTATCTTCCATTTCTATGTTAAAAGATCAGAAACTATGGAGATACAGCTATATCAACGTCACCTCTCCTTTCTGTTAAAATGACTTTGGTTTTCGTAGACATTTATCGGGGGCTCTTGTGGCCGAGAGGTTAAGGTGTTTGCCTCTCATTCAATAGGTCTCGGGTTCGAATCGGGGTAGCGACGGAAACATTTTCTTCTCTAAAATTGTCTCCTTTCACCTCATTTCCTACTCTCTAACAATGTTCTGTCAGAAACTTTCTGACCCCACCCCAGTTGCCCCCTCCTCTGGGTTCCTGACTGTTTCTGCAGCCTTTCTACTGTTACTCCTTGGCTCCTTCTTTCTGCTGTCTGTCCCCCACACTCCTGATCTTATGCCCAGTTTGTGTGTCTTTGATATAGGAGCATTCTAAGATATTGTCCACAAAAATTATGTCCAAAATCCTTTCATTTAGTGATTTGCCAAAAATGGTCTGAGAAAACTTGGAAGTATGAGCGCTTTTCTTGCTTTACACCTGATATTTGTAGTATGAGTATCTGGTGTGGTGTGCTCTTTCTGCTTCTCTTCAATGTTTCTTTTGCCTAAGCTATGCCTTGAGATATGCGACTGTTTTGTGAGGATTCTCTGTACACCACATCTCATATGGTGACAACTCAATCTCTCAGGGTGGTCACAGTTAGGTTTTTTAAGTAAACAGCTGCTTCATATGACTTGGAAAATGTTAACTATCAATTCACAGCAGTCTTTTAATAATTTGGCAAGCATTTACAATCAATTCGTTGTAGTTGAAAGTAAATACAGCTATAAAATGTTCTTCTTGCTTGTATTTTGGTATTGTTCATTTGCACTCTTTAGACTTTTACCTAATTGCTTACTCCTTTGCCTCTCTGTACCATAGTGGACCCCAAGTTGTACTGGTGGGGTATTGCTTGCTCTCTTACTGAACTTTCCTCTTTATCTTTTTCTGTTCAACAGGTTCCATTGTCTGCATTAGGTCTGGTATTTTCTAACTTTGTTACATCTCGAGGTGGTCTGTAGTTGGAGGTTTTTGTTTTTCCCTTTACGTGTCCTCACACTGCTTTACTATGTTTGAAAATAAAATAAGAACTCAATTCACATTGCTAAACACTAGTTCTTTCAAATTGTTTTGAAGTTTTACCAATGAAACTGCAATATATTTTGTTGATTGCAGGTGGATCTGAACCAAAGACGACGCGAGGAAGCAAACCTCACAGTGGATGCTTATAGAATGGCATTTGAGGAGCAGCTGTCAAAGAGTCGAGGCATGAGCCAGCGACTTGCACATGTTGCCAGTTTGACTTCCAGATCTTCAAAAGCAAAGGCTGCCATTAAGTTTCTGATTGAAGTCTTGAATGATGGTATGTTCCTATATCCATTCTTGTTTATAAATGAGAGAGACAGCGGATGTAGTGACTGTGTAACGTTCAATATGTCAATATAAGATAAGATAAGATACATCTTTATTGTCCAGATCCTGGCACATTGGTTTGGTGTTCCACCACGAGTACACACACACACACACGCACACATACACACACACACACACACACACACACAAACACACACACGTACACACATGCACACACAAGTAGGCTTACAATCACATGCATAATATAAATGAGCAGCATTTATTTTGTACAATATGAAAATATATTATCTTTTCTTACTTTACTTTTCCGATCCATCTAAGTTCTAGCCCTTCGGCCAGTCAATATGGCAAAGAATTTACAGGTTTTTGTCAGCTGTGTTTTGTCGCTGTATAAAGTATCTCCAATATTTGATGACACAGGTAGGTAGGAACTACGCAGGTCACTAAGTGCAAGGCAGATAAAGAGGTGGTATGATACTGTTTCATCCTGGCAGTCACGCAGGGGGCAGTCAGATGAGGTATCCTTGGGGATCTTATTTAGGAAGGAATTCAGTGTGATTTTTGTGTTCGCAGGCGAAAGATAGTGACTTGTTCTCTTCTACTCAGTTAATTTAGTGCATCTTTTGAGTTGGGAGTAGTCATGTGTGCAAGTACAATTCTACCAGTTTTGCCCAATGCCCATCTATTCAGCCACTGTTCCCTGGTGTTGCATTTGATGATGTTCTTGACTGTCTGTTGTGATACTAGGTTTTGAGGTTGAGTTTGTGATGCTCCCTTCTTGGCAAGGGTGTCTGCTCTATCATTTCCTGGAATGTTGCTGTGGCAAGGTATCCACTGTTAAGTCAGGTCGACGGCATAGGTCTTCATGAAGGTGCTAATTGTTAGAGCCACAGATACGTAAGCTGGGCTTTCAAAATTCATGTTTTCCAAAGTTTGGAGTACTGATTTTCCGTCTGTGAAGATTACAGTGTTCTTGATTTTTGTCTGGATATATAGTGAAAATGTTGGTCAGGTGAAGGATTACTGCCTCAATGGCGATGGTTTGTGCCTCTTAATTTGTACAAGAAGTACCACAGGTATCAAATAGTTCTTCACACGTCTTGCGTGGGTGTTCTATTCTTACTCCAAAGCCTGCATTAATAGTTCCCTTGAAGCTGACCCATCAGTGTAAATATGGATTGAATTTTTAGGGTAGCAGTCAATTGTTTTGAGAGCTATGGTCTTCAGTTCTACTGGGTCACATTCCTTTTTCACTGTTTCTTTTATGAGGGAAGTTTTAATGTTGGTGTTCTTGATGTTGGTGTTTGGGGGGAGTTCTGGTTTTAAGGGTTCCAACATTTTTCTTTTCTTAGATGAACAATTAATCAGATTGAAGTGTTAGAGAATGCGTAAAAACTATACAGCCAAAATTGTCTTAAGTTGGCCACCCATTGTCGAGGAGAAAAGTGGTTGTCTTAGACAGGTGGCCGTCTTAAACAGAGTCAATATAATGCATGAAAAATGCAAAGGGGGAATCGGAAGTGGCCATTTGTACAGGTGATTGTCTTATTCAGGTGGCTGTTGGAGCAGATCCTACTAGATTTAGAGACTTGAAAAGTCCTTGTTTCTAAGGTATTTGTGCTACTTTTTCTTTGGCTCTGAGGGCAGGAATCTTAAACATTTATTATGCTCATAGTTAAGGGATGAGAAAGATTAAATTTTTCTTTAGTTGAACTTTGTGTTACAGACAGGTGTCAGAGAATCAATGATGATTTTTATTGGCTGCAGTCACTTATTGTTGTCCTCTCCTTATGTGTTGCCTTTTTACAGAGTGCATTTGAATTTGAATTTCAGATGATTACACTCCAGCTACAAGCTTAGATTCCGTAAGTTTGGAGGATCTCCGAAGCGGGGCCGCATCCTCAATGAGCTTGCAGGAAATGGTGTCGGTGCTCTCTGATATGGTAATGTCATGTCAGCTTTTTGTTTTTTGACTGATTATCTTTGTCTGCAACTTAGTGTTGCATGTTTTACTTTTAATGATGGTATGAGTTGTTCCAGAAGTTCTAAAAATAGAGAATAAAATCGGACTGGAGTATATGCTAAAGATTTAGTTTAAGTTGAGTCACTTGTTTACCTTGACGCACACTGCTAGCTTTCGTATAAAAGTACTTGTTTCAGTTCCAAGTTCATGATGGTTTGGTCATCAAACAACTGCATTTTCTACTGCTGAGATTCACACCCCTTTTTGGATGGTTAATGGGATCCACCTATCCCCTTGACTTCTATGATAAAGACAAAGCTCCTGGGTAGCGTTCATTAAAGCCATCACGGTAGTTCTGATCAAAGAAAAGCAGACTAGTCCAAACAGGCTGTCAAAGCTGAATTCAAATTAATCTTTTCACAAGAACTATTAAAAGTCTGGCAAGTGTAAATAAACAAATGAGCCTTCGAACAGAGCTTGTGGCTTTGTACTCTAACTGGAAAATAAATAATATACGTTACAATTTGTTACAATACACATAGCTGCCACTTTTCCGCTAATTAGCGGAAACCCCGCTACCTCCGCTTGATCTAGCTTTTCCCGCTACTTTTCTCCTTCCTGCGCTGGACCACTCTCAGAAGCAAATTGGGATTTTTTTTAAATGCAGAAAACACCGAACCGTCCGCCCGTAGCTTCCTCCTTCCGTTCTGTGCCTAACGCTAAAGTTTCACTTGGATATCTATTGTGGGGCGACAGTGCTGACTGTCGATCAAGCATCGGGACAATGGCGCGCAGAGTTTTCATTGAAGATGGCGGAAATTCGAAAGAAATTGATGCAGAATGCAAAAATAAATTGAGAAAGAAGCAGACGGTGTGCGACTTCAACTCTTCATTAGTAAATTGAACAAGCGGGGTTCTGCACTTCGCGTTTGGTGCGATAAAGAAATTTCGATTAGTGGCAAAAGTATTGCCTCCTTCATCGAATACTGCTCTACATGTTGCACAAGTCGAAAGTGAAAGAAATCTTATAAGACACTAGCTGGCAACAAACACTGGATTTTTTGCCACTGAACTGGGTAAAATGCTTGTTAATGTCTTCTGGGGGTTTTTTCAAAATACATTTTCATTCAGTATGGTTAACAGATGTGACACTTTTCACTTCCAAAAACATAAATGTTCCAAGATATTGCCTCTGGGTCTCACTACTTTTACTGTGGCCTTCAGAGAGCATGCATACGCCTTCGCGTGAAGTTCCTCCTTTTTTAAAATTCCTGAGTGGCAGCTATGAACATAATTTTTAAAAGCCTATGCTTTACTGCCCTATGGGTGTAATTGGAGAAAATAAATTCTCATTCATGCTAAACCGCATAGATATCCTCTTCCTTCCCGGTTGTGTCTGTCAGTGGCTTGGTTTGTGCAAATGTTAACATGTGCTGCTCAAAGGTCCCACCTGCTGTCAACACCAAATTAGACTTCACAATTTTATATGGACTAGAGAGGAAAAATGGATATAGAATATGATTGTCTTGGTCGTTTCTCTAGAGATAAAAGTAATTCTTTTTTCCATGTATGTGGACAGACAAAATCTTTATAGTCTTGCTGGATTTTCAAAATATTTGTTATGCAGTAGTATTTTGTGTTAATCAATTATTTTCTTTTATCTCTTTCAGGTGTATGAAAAAAAGGAAGCTCTTGCACATCAAAAGTTGGCAACCCAGCTTATAGCCAACAAACTTTACCTTCTAGAAAATAGATTCGCCGATTGTGATTCCTCACCAGGTGATGATGTACGAAAAACAAATTCATCAAGCATAAATCAAGTACAGTCTTCACACAATACTGTAGAGAATATTTTAAAGAATTACTCAAAGGAAGCTTCAAACATAATTGAAAACAACAAGGATACTCATATAGAAACAGAGGTCTCTCTTCATGATAGTCTTAGTGAAAGCTATGCACAAGATAATGAATCAAATGTTGAGGAAGGAGATGAAGTACAGCCCCATCAGTCTGTGCTATCTAAAGACTTTTCTGCTTCTGATAATAACAATGGGGACTCGGGTGTGGATATTGCCAGTGTTGATGCAAGTCTACATGCAGAGCACAATGACCATAAGGATTAATGTGTGATGTCTTCATGTAACTTAGTGTCATGGCCAAAATTTCCGCCTTTTAATGAGCAGTACTGTCAAGTTTTAAGGAACGGTACAAAACATGCTTTAATGTAATAATTTTTCCAAGTGAGTATTTTAACACTTTTAAATATTTAGCTTTTGACCAAAAAAAGGAGATGATTCTCTGAGTATCAAACTTTAAGCACCCTGGCAATACTGTGGATGAAGGGAAGGAGAGCCCCAGAACTGGTTCTTGAGTTTGTGTCATAGTTAGTAATATAGATCTGATGTTTACTTAGTTTTATGAAGTAGTTATGTTTTAAGCTCTTTTCTTTCAATCACCATGTGTTGATATATGAGAATTCATTGGAACCTTTTAAGCAATAAGGATAATATTGAGGTCTTTTTAGTGCAGTTAGGTGCTTTAGTTTTGAACACAGCTCTTCACCTGCTATTGAAAAAGAAATTTGATAATTTTGGACCACCGACAAATCAACAGCACTAATGTAATGTGTCTGTGTATACAACATGTTTACTGCCATGTAGAGTGGAATAGACACTTGACCAATTTTCCATGTGTATAATGGCTAATTACAACCTTTCTGAACAGTTTTTATGCGAGCTAACCCAGTTTGACCTAACTTTCTTCAGTTTATGCATAACTAGTGCATTTGTGTAAAACTTGGGCTTGCTACTGTTAGGAGTGGTTTGTTTGCTATTAAATAATGTGTAAGGCTCTTCTCCAGCTCACAAATTGTTATTCCTTTCAACCAAAAATTATTTGGGTGGAACATTAAGTGTCTCTGCTTCTTTTAGTCTTTAAAATTTGTTTTAATAGCAACAGTATTGTGAAGATGGTACTGGTGATGATGAAGGGCAATGGTTTGAGTCAAACCATAAGATTCAAAGTTCAAATCTTAAGGAATTCTGTTTGATACTTGTGCTTTGTGTTGTGATGGGTCTAGTTATCTTCCTGAACCACGATCTTGACACTGCAATAACTGTCTGTCCCTCTATGTCCCTCTAGACATTTCCCCCAACTATTGTATACCTCTCCCTGTTCACCATGGCTGTAGACACTTCAGACTTTTATGATCTTTTTAGAAATTATACGTCTGGGTTTAGGATTTTGATTTTACATTTCACGGGCTGGTTGCTTTTTTTTTCAATGAATACACACTGCCATCAGTGCCTTTACCTGAGCTCCTTGTTCATGTTGTATGTTTTACCAGAAAGAGCTTTTGTATTGAATATAAAAATCAAACGCATGTTACCACCTCAGGTATGTTACCACCTTTTGTTTGTTAATGTTACCACATTATTCTCATGCTGGACAGAGCACTGTGTTGCTGGATGTTTTCAATAATGTTATAAAAGGAAAGGGGAAGTTGAGAACTGACAGCCTGGGACAAAACTTCATATCATTGGCAAGCGATTCAAATGTCCTTAGAAATTTTTCAGGAGAGAGAATAAAACTTTCATTCTTTTAATAACTGTCTTTACGTTATGTATCTTTTCTTCTCTTCTCAACATTTAGAAATAGAAATTTGATAAAATCTCTTTAGAGCACATGCAACCAATACCACAGATTAAAAAAACAAAAAAAACAATTCATAATTTTGGGCTTACCACATCTGAACAGCTGGCTGACAATATGCAATAAGATTTTGCCTTCCTGAGTAAATTCTACTCAAGAAAGTACGCAATGCTGCTGGCTCAAAAGTGTCAGGTGTACCTTGCATAGTGCTTAATGTGGGTATAACTGGTGAGCACTCATACATTTTCCATGACCACCTCCTCATCACATGGCCTTGCTCACCCACATGAGTAAGTATCCTGGATCTTGGTCCAGTCCTTGAACTTGTGCATGAGTGTCTCATGTCTAGGTATTGAAGCTCTGTGGGATTTTTTTTTTAACTTTGCTAATGGGGTAATTGAATGAGTGACAGTTATTCTCTTCTCAGCACTGTTTGAATTCTTCATGTGCACTCAAGTCATTATTCATGTATTTAAATGTACAAACTTGACCTTGTATGTTCCTGACATGACAATTTATAAGTTTACAAAAAATGTTTGCCTGTTATTGATGAAGAGTGTGGTTGTACCTGAAGCTACCACAGGAGAAGGGAACTATTAGGTCTACTGATAGTTTTGTTGGAAAAACAATATATCACTGAGAGTATCCAGGAAGCTTTATAAACTCAATAGTGTCCGTACTAAGATTTTTTAATGGATCAGCAAAGGCTTTATGTGTTGACTGTTTGTCCATCTTTCAACATTATTTTCACTTCTAGAAATGGTTGACAAATACATTTGACAGAGCTTACCCTTGCGTTTTGCATTTCCTTCTGTACATATCATATGTAACATTGGTTTTCCAGAGCTCAAAGGGATGTTAGTGGTGATGCTGTTCATATCAACTCAAAGATTGGTTCATTTAGGGAAAAGGATTAGTGTGGTTTAACTTATTAAAATGGATTTTTAGCAAGATTAGAGAATTGGAAAAGCTGTTTTAATATTTGATTATGTCTTCTTTTTTTTGTCTTCTGTTACAGTCACTTCTTGTGATGTTCATGATTTCTTATTCTTGTGCTTCACAAAAGTTCTAGACTTTTACTCATGAACTTTATAAAAATGCTCTGCCATTATGATTACTTTTTACCTGAAGAATCATCAGATATATGATGTAGTTGTGTAGAAGTTATCTATATATATATATATTATATATGTGAAAGCTCGTCACTTTGGTCGTTTAAAATTTCTGAACCACTTAACTTCTGAATTTGAAAAAATTAATGGTGGTTCAGAATCATTTAAAGGGTGCACAGTTATATTTTATTAAGGAGTCTGAAGTTACTGTAGTTTTATTTTCATTTTTTTATTAGTTTCGTTTAGATCTAATCTTGGGAAAGTCCCGTCTTCTAAGACGCCATAGTAAACAAGTGAGAATTCCGTTCACATGCAGTGCACACTGAACCCACAATGACTTGACGATCCCTTCTTTTGAGTTCGTTCATTGAACGGGGTACATAATGTTTTTCGTCTTGTCCTCATTCATGCTGGAAATCAACAAAATAAGCTTAACTTATTTTTTGGGCCTTTATTCAGTTTTTAAGTAAAATCTATACAAAAATGTGTTTTTATATAAACACCAAAAATGATGACTCAGAAAACAAACAATAAAAACAATAAAAATTGCCAAACGAATGGAAAAATGTGGGTTTCTTCAATTTCATTATTTTGACGAACAGTGCATTTCACCACGTTATCTCACACACAGTTATTTTAGAAAGGGGTTCTCAATGTAGGAGTTTATGGGCTTTAACTCTTCATTGATGTAGTTCTACAACGACCATCTTCATTTTTGATTCATTAAATGCATTCTCAATATGATGGGGCAGTAACAATGAGCTTTCCATCCTTTAGCAACAAATCTTTTCAAAATTTTGTTTCTGTAGATTGTTTGTGGGGGATTTTTTGGTAGCTGTCGTGGTTCACCTCTTTATCGCTCCAAAAGCAATGTTTTTTCTCTGTTGGTATGCTTTTGGTATGGATACATCTTTGGTGCTTAACAATTGTGTTATCCAAGTTCTGCAATAGTCACTTCTCTGAAAACAGTACAGGAGTGTAATTTCATAAAGCTGCCTGAGAGTTTATTTCCTCAGAAAATTAATTTTATTGTAATTCATAATATCAAGGACATGATCTTCAGCACCTTTATCAAAATCAGTGAAACTATATTGAAATAAATTAAATGCAGAACTTATTCTCAACAGGTATACCTGTGTTTTGGCTAAATTCTCATTATAAAGCATGTAATATGGTAGCTTGTGTATTTTCAGAAGCATATGGGACCAGTACGTTACGATATTTTAATTTCTTTTTCTGTTATATTCAGTACAGTTTCAACTGCTGTAACTGTTGGTTTAATAATATAAGAAACAGCAAAAGCATTGGTCATGCATTCTTTGTTGTGCATTTTACACTTCTACCTCCTCTCTTGTTTTTCTTAAATGAAAGAAAGATTGCATGGAAGGGACCATGTTGTGTTTCAGGAAGGAACTTCAGGTCACTAAAAGAGAGTCTGTAAAAAGTAAAAAGTGAAGGGGTGAGAAATTTCATTCAGTGAAACTCAGATATAGCAAAGTTGTCAGGCCCAACCTTCTATTTTGTTGAATACGAGTGATTTTTTATAACAATGTTAGCAACAGGTTGCGTCGCAGTGTAGGATCTGGCATATGGCATTGTTAGTTTCCACTGACCATTCTGAAGTCCATTTTGTAATTCAATACCTAGGCTAGCCTATCATTGGTCAGTAGCTGGAGAAGGGGGGGGGGTATGATTGTGATGTGTCTGCATATCTGCTGACGTTCCATGCCCTGACGCTTTGATCCCTTATTTCTTGATTTAAAAAAATTATCTCAGCAGGTAAATTCATCTCTAGCAATCTGGCCACCCCATTTTCAGATTTTTTTTCCCACCAATTTCTTTATGACTTCCAAAAATGTGAACCTTTTGTTGACAGATATCAATTAAATGTTTTCTAAAAATGAATCACATCCCATGTTTTGGAAACCTGAGAGTTGAGACAACTCTCTTTCATTATTTGAATTATGGTGAGTTTTGGCATTGGTTGTACTATGCTGAGTCATTTCAAGGGTCTTATTTTGTTCATCATGATGTGATTGATAAGTCGTTTCATACTGATGCAACAGTTATTCCTTAACTCCAACTGAATATCATTTTTTATTAAATGATATTCTTTGGTATTGTGTTCATCATTTGCTTCAAATATGTCATGGGTTAGTTGTTTAAAAAAAAAGTTTTTTGAAGAAGACAATAACATCATTTACGAAAGCAAAATTAATGCTAAATAAGTTGACCCTATGCTTACTTTATGAGACTTTTCCTTTCAGACTTACAAAAGCTTTCTTTGAATACTTTGTCAAACAGGGGTTACATTGGGACTTTCTCCATCAAATTGGAAACGCTTTTAATTCTGTTATACATTATGTTTTAAAGCAAATAAACAAGATTCTGTTAAGATTTGAAGAAAAAAAATGGATGTCCCATCGCAACTGCGGTATAATCATATAATGTGTTTTGAAGTTTTGTATATTTGATTCTGTAGGTATTCCACAGATTGTTTTTGCCTATCATTTTTATTTTCATGTTATGAACGCTGTTTGTCTTTTTTAGGTTGTTTTTCCAGATTTTCTTATTGTATAGTTAATTGTATTATGTAAGTTCTTATGTGGTTTGTATAGATTGTCTCATGTAATTAAGTTTATTTATTTCTTTGAACATACACAATGTATAATCTTCATTTGCTGTGGACAATTACCAAATGCCTTGCTTCAAAAGTGATGGCAAATGTTTTGATGTTTTGCTTTCCTATCATAATCATATTCATAGTTTGCTTTTGCATGGTTAGCTTTTATAGTGAAATTTTATATTTTTTCAATATTTTGTGAGCAAATTTCGTGAAAAAGTTTTGTGCCTATCCGAGTGAAAATTTGTTATCTTTTTGCAAAGTGGGGTTTTTTTTTCAAGATGCTTGAGTGCAACATTGTAAGAGCATTCCCAAAGACATCAATTTTTCTATAAATATTCCACATCATGTGTTCTGGATGCTGACTTGTGGTCTCTCAAGAAATTTGACAAACAAAATGAATGATTCAGGGATTGTTGAAGGAAGTTGCTGGAATTTTTTAGGAATACCAATTTTTATAGTTTCTGGAATTGAGATAATGACGAGTATTCCAAACTCTATCAATTGTATGACGCATGACACCCTTTTTGCCTCTGATGTCATGTCATCTGTTGTGTGGTAACAAATCAATAATATCCAGAACTCTTTCTACATCTCTGTAGCATCCTCATAGAGATATTGTTGCTGGAATTTTATGAGAATCACCAAGATCTTTGAGGGGTAATGCAATTATTATATCTACTGTCTTTCCCTGAAGGTTCTAGTGATTGCTGTGATGCTAGTGTTATATTATAAAATATATAAAAGATAATTTGCAATATGTGTATGTTGATTGATTTGCTCTTACATAGTCATACACATTTACTTGACTTCTTTTCTTGACAGTCCAAAACAAAAAGTAAATGTTATAAGTATATGTAATATGTGTATATATTTTTGGTAAAAATTAATTAAATACCATTAGTGAGTAGGCTAATAATATTTTATTCTATACAATAGCAGCTTATCAAGTTTTTCAAAGTTCTTCTGAACAAAGAACCTGCATCTCTTTTGGGAAAAAGGTATTCACATATAATAGTGATTGTATTTGTATTTAGGATAAAAGGACAAACCACCATCTAATGTTGCAGACTAACAGTGTACCGGTATGTTGTGAGGTGATTGAGATATTTTGCAAGTGGTTGGCAGCTCACACTGTGAGTTGGTACAGGAACAGGAGTGTTTGAGTTTTGCTCAGTCTCTGCCTGTCCTTTCTGCAGTCAGATAGTTAGGGTTCTT